TAAGTCTGAAATGCTTGATCCTCAAATCTGTTTTCTGCCTGAGGAGTTTGAAACCCACAGCTGCTTTGGGTGAATACTCTAAAAACAAAGGTACAGGGTACTGCAGTGTGAGCTTCTTTCAGCTTTTCAGTTTTGGAGGGAATAATTATATATTCACTGGGCAACAGAAAAAAGGGTGAAGTATACTTGAACCATACTAAATTTGTAGAAAGTTACACCTCCATGGTGTGAACAGTTGCACACATATTAAAAGTTAATACCGTGTCTTGTCTGCACAGCTCTGACTTACCACTAGAGGGTTGGAGATCAATGGCATGGCTAGGAGCCTGGACACTTGAACCCTATCCCTGCTCTGAGCAGGGCTGGCTGGGAGTGGGGTATCCTGGGATGCTGGAGGACTGCAAATGATTTGTTTTATTTCCATAGAGCAGACTGAAGTTACCCTAACATGACCCAAAGTTAATCCTTATTTGAAGTGGTGTAACTTTGAGATGCTCAAAGTTAACAAGTTAACAAGCTTTCACATGCAGACACCTGGGGCATTTATACACATGCTCCGGGCGTGGGGAGAGAAGCACTTTAATTAGAGTGACTTTAAGAGCGGCTGCAATTAATATGCCCAGAACATAATGTGCATCAGCATCCCTGCAATGAAAAATGATGGCGGGGTACTTTAACCAAAGCCCAATGAATGAGCTTTAGTTAAAGCACCCCCACTGCCATTTTTCAGTGCAGGGATGCTGCTATATATGACACTGGAGTCTGCTAGAACACAATAATTACCACATTCCAGCAGACATGATTAATCGAGTTTGTAATTACAGCACATTGAAGCAGCCTCACTGCAAATGTATAGGCACCCTTGTATTTTAAGTGCTCTTAGTATGGTCCAAATGTAATGTATAACTTCACTGGAAAACAGAGAACATGTGACTGTATGGCAGAGCCACGCAACTATTCAGCTGGCTCTGACAACAGCGCCAGTTCCCCAGCCATTGGAACATGAGGATGCCAAGGCCTCAGTGCCCCAATTTTGCCACAAGGATATTGTAGAAGACCAAGTCAAAGGACATGGGAAGTGGGGTCCCACAGGGCTCGGTCCTTGGGCCTGCACTGTTCGATATCTTCATCAGTGATTTGGACGAGGGGGTACAAAGCACCCTGTTCAAGTTTGCTGATGACACTAAGATGTGGGGGGAAGTGGGCACAATTGAGGGGAGCAACAGGCTACAGTTAGACCTAGATAGGTTACAAGGATGGGCAGAGGAGAACAGGAT